AACTAATGAAACTTCCCAAAAGGAGGTAAATATTTTTGTTTAGTTTTAAAACCATATATCACCCATGGGTTTATCAGCTATCCCATCAGGGAAATAACCAGTTTAAAATCAATAATATCATTGCGAAAAATGACACTTCAGACACAAAATAATTAAATATATAGTATTTTGTGAATAAGTGACAAAAAATAAAGAAGCTGCAGAGCCACCAAATGTATATCGAATTTGAATTTAATTTTGATTTTTCACTAATTTCTTTTTAAACAATGAAATAATGAACGTTATACCTGTCCTTCTCCGTTATAGTAAACCCGAGGTACTGATAATACTGATACTGATGGTTCATATAAACGTAAAAGTAAACAAAAAGAGGAATAAGAAAGGGTAGAGAAGGAAAACGAACCAAAATATATACGTATATGTGCATGTTTGCGTATATACACACGCACGCACACATGTATGTATGTGTATATATATATATATATATATATATATATATATATATATATATATATATATATATATATATATATATATTTATATGTATATATATATATGTGTGTGTGTGTATGTGTGTGTGTGTGTGTGTGTGTGTGTGTGTGTGTGTGTGTGTGTGTGTGTGTGTGTGTGTGTATGGATCAAGAGAGAGAGAGAGAGAGAGAGAGAGAGAGAGAGAGAGAGAGAGAGAGAGAGAGAGAGAGAGAGAGAGAGAGAGAGAGAGATAAACAGATTGAATGACATAGATATAGATAGATTGACAGACTGATAGGTAAGATGTAAATTTGTATATACCTACATTTGTATATATATATATATATATATATATATATATATATATATATATATATATATATATATATGTGTGTGTGTGTGTGTGTGTGTGTGTGTGTGTGTGTGAGTGTGTGTGTGTGTGTGTGTGTGTGTGTGTGTGTGTATGTGTGTGTGTGTGTGTGTGTGTGTGTGTTTGTCTGTGAATATAAATATCTGCCTATATATATATATATATATATATATATATATATATATATATATATATATATATATATATATATATACATATATACATATATTTATATATCTATTTATTCATTTATCTAAATATTTGCCTATATATATATGTATATATATATATATATATATATATATATATATATATATATATATATATACATATATATATATGTGTGTGTGTGTGTGTGTGTGTGTGTGTGTGTGTGTGTGTGTGTGTATGTGTGTGTGTGTGTATGTGTGTGTGTGTGTGTGTGTGTGTGTGTGTGTGTGTGTGTGTGTGTGTGTGTGTGTGTGTGTGTGTGTGTGTGTGTGTGTGTGTGTGAATATAGAAATGTATATATATATATATATATATATATATATATATATATATATATATATATATATATATATATATGTATATATAACTTGGATACTCAGGCAGACATTGTGCATGCCATACCCGGCACATTTCCCGCCAGAGTTTCGGTGCCAATAACACGAAGCAAAAAGAATGGCTTTGACGAATTTCGACACATTGACTTGTCTCCTGTGACAGATGCGCCTTTTAACTTCCTCAAGATCACCGTATGCTGGTTTAAAATTTGAAAGAAGAAAATAAAAACGAGCAGTAAGAGATCGTATGTATGATGGATATTATTATAACATCTGAGAAAAAAATATTTACTTTAGATTTCAATTTCATTTCGACCTCTGAATCTTTGTCTTTATATTACAGGAGAAAAAACAATTCTCTTGCAAGCCTCAAGTTGTTTTCAATTTTTCAAAGTTTTTCATGACAGGTATGAACCAAAAAGTTATCGAAAGAGAAATGACCACGAGCCAACGACAGACCCAAGTCCATTAAAACGATATCAAACAACTGCGGCATTGGCACTTGTGATGTGGCGAGAGTGATGGCCGTCGGAGATGCTGGCACTGCTCGAGAGACATGATAAACGATACGACCTCCCTCGGCACTTTCGGATGCCTGCGGGGGTGCCAGGCGAGTGCCACATAACAGCCCTGTGATCCGAGCTGTCACCCCAGAAGGCCTTGAAGAAACCGAAGCAATATATATGGAAATGGGAGGAAAAAAGAGACAGCGAAGGTTGTGAGCTAGTCAGCCAGACACTCAATTACGGCTGTGTATTCGGTAACAGTTTAGTGACACGTTATGCAGTGTCACTTTCTTTCGTGTTTTTATTTTTTATTTTTTAGACTTCTGATTTCTCTGAAAACTCGTGTAGCATATCTTATTTATTAGAGAGGTTGTATATTTCGAAATGTTACTTATACTTGAAAGGGTCGTAAGCACGCGATATCGAACCATCCATTCCAGATAAAATCAGTTTTAAAGTTCTTCAACCTAGCATTACCGCGCTATTCGACAATGATCCCAAGCAGAGATTTATCTTCATTGCTTTCGAACACACACACGGATATTGTGGGAAATGTAGTGTCAATTTTACGTTCTTGGAAAAGTAAAATATAACAACAACAGCTCTAG